ATATCAGAAAATAAGGAACCATAATTTATTCAACTATTCCCTTATTGATATATAAATCAGAGGCTTTTGTTTGTTTTTTGTTTTTCCCATCACAATGCTTCAGTGAGAATCCTAGTACAGATGCTTCTGTGCTGGTTGTTGCTGTTTTGTTTTTGTTTGCTTATTTGTTTATATCACTTCCAAAATTGTTGGACTTCTTTCAGTTCCATAAAGAGTTTGTGATAGGGACCACTTTCTCATCATCCCTGATTATCGTTCTTAATTTCCATCAATCTTATGATAATGTGGTTATTTAATTTCCTTAAATACTAATAAGGTAGAACAACTCTGAAATGTTTGCATGTGCTCCATTTGCATTTCCTCTTCCTTGAATTCCCTAATTTCTTAAGGTGTCAAACATATACAAGCCTAAAAAACCAACCAATTTGTAGTCACTATGAACCCCCTCTCCAATTTAGAATGTTTGAGTCCAGACAGTTTCTCTAGTTGTATCATAAAATAATCAAATTCTGTGAACACTGCTTTTATCTTCTTGTTCTGCTGACTAGTAGTATGACCCATGAATCTACATAAGAAGGTATTTGAGAAAATCTTGCATCTGAGTTGATGACAACATATAATATGCAGTGGTACTGGTGGTTAAATACCTCTCTTAGGGTTCATCCAGCTGATACCTTGAGTTAACAGTTCATTGAAAGACCAGAAACTAGGACTATTTAATGTTTGCACAAGAAAGCAGTCACTCAAATCTTAACTTACCCTTGGAAATGTTCTTATTTGGATTGTAGTTATCTAGATGGGGACCAGTATATATACATGTACGTGTGTATATTGATACATGTGTATATATCTCTATTTATAGGTAGATTTTTTTTCCCCCAAAATGTGTGGTAATTTCAGGAGAGAATCTGTTTAAGCACATTGACAGATTTCAAGGTCAATATGCAAAAGTAAATTTTATTTTTATAGACTGGCAACAATTAGAAAATGAAGTATAAATACACCATTTTCAAAACACCAAAACAAAAAAAAATTCTGGGTATAAATCTAACAAGAAATGGGCAAGACCTTTACATAGAAAACTATAAATATTATTGAGAGAAATTAAAGAATACCTACATAAATATACAAAATGGAGATATAGTCATGAATTGAAAAAGTTTATACAACAAAAATTTCAACTCTTAAGCTGATATATATGTTCAACACAATTTTAATTTAAAAATAGCTAGAAGTTTGTGTGCATATGTGTACGTGTGTGTGTAAATTGACATACTAATTCTAAAAGTTTCATGGAAAATTCAAAGTGCCAAGAATTACCAAAGCAATCTTGAATTATAAAGAATAAACCTGGGAGATTTGTACTCACTGCCAGAATTATATTGTATGTCGTATATTATATATTATGCATTACAGAGCTTCAGTAATTTCGGAAGTCTGACATTGCACAAAGACAAATACATAAATGGTGCAGAGAACAGAGCCAATAACAAACATTTACCACATGGTCACTTGATTTGATGAAGTTTATTCCAGTGATATGAGAAAAGGTGTTCTTTTAAATAAATAGTGCTAGGTTAATTGAATATATATATGAAAAATTGAACATGATTCTTAAGTCACATCACATGCAAAAAATATTTTTTGACTTTAAATATGAAAGGTAAGCCAATAAGCTTTCTGTAAAAAAAACACAACACATAAAATAACACTCAAAAAAAGTTTATTTATTTATTTTGAGAGAGAGAGAGAGGGAAAGAGAGAGAGAGAGAGCTAGGGAGGGGCAGAGAGAGAGGGTGGAGAGAATCTCAAGCAGGCTCCTCACAGCACAGAGCCAGACACAGAGCTGCATCTCAGGAACCATGAGGTCATGATCTGAACCAAAGTCAAGAGTCAGCCACTTAATCAGCTGAACCACCCAGGCACCCCTAAAATAGCACTTTCTTGACTTCAAGGTAGATAAATATTTCTTAGACAAAACATAAAAAAATGCTAACCATAAAATAAATGACAATAAATTGGACTACATTAAAATAAATAACTTCTGTTTATCCAAATACGTGAATTAGAGATTAAAAAGGCAAGCCTTGGGCACAAAATGAGAGAAAATTTTGTGGTGTGTGTGTGTGTGTGTGTGTGTGTGTGTGTGTGTGTGTGTGTGTAGAAACATGTACAAAAGACTTGAACAGGACCTTCACAAAACAGACCATCCAAATGGCCAATAAACATTAAAAAAAGATACATTAATACAGGGATTCATAAATTTCTGCTGTAAAAGGCCAGATAGTAAATATTATGGGCTGTGATAACAGAAAAATGTGCCCTCAAAAGGTAGCCATATAAAATTTCTGAAACTTGTGAATATTACCTCACTCAAAAAATAATGTTTTTCAGATATAATTAAGGATCTTAAAATGAGATCACTCTGCATTCTCCAGGTGATCTAAATACAGTAAGTATTATAAGAGAAACATAGCAGAGAATGCACATACAAAGGACAAGGGCACAGAGATTGAAATGTGTACCCACAAGCCAAGGAAGTTAAGGAATGCCAAAAATTCTCCCCTAGAGCCTCCAGAGGGAGTACAGCTCTGTCAACATTTTGATTTCAGACTTCTGGCTTCCAGAACTATGGCAGAATAAATTTATGCTCTTTCAAGTGATTGAGTTTGTGGTAGTTTGTCATGGCAGCCACGAAATGGGCCATATGATCTCTGTCATAACTATTTAACTCTGTGTTTGCAGCAATCAGCCATGGATAATAGTAAACTAATGTCTATGCTTAAGTTCTAATAAAGTTTTATTCATAAAAGTTTGGAGAGACTGTGGAGAAAGGGAATTCTCATATACTACTGGTGGGAGTATAAAATGGAATGAGAATTTTGAAAAATTATTTGGCATTGTCTATAATCCAAAAATTCTGCTCCTAGATTTAAGTAGAAATTTATAAATATATGCACCAAAACGCACATACAAAAATGTTTGTAGTAGCACTATATGTAATAGCTGTTAACTGGAACAAAATTTAGCAATCAGTAAATTGTGTGTGGTATGTGTATTGCAGAATCAATCAATCAATAAATTGTGGTGTGTGTATAGACATACAGACACACATGCATACACATTCATGTAATACTATAAGGCAATGCAAATGAATTAATACTGCTGCCATGGATGATTCTTGCAAAAATATTGGGAAAAAAACAGTACAAAATAGTAAAAAATAGCACATACTGCATAATTGCATTTAACACATTAAAAGCAGTCAAAATATCGATGGTGATAGGAGTCAAGGTAGAAATTACTTTTGGAAGGCAGTGACTGGGGCGGGGACACGGAGGGATGTCTGGAGCTCTGTTCTTTGGTAGTCATGGTGGTTACCCTGTTGTTGCCGCTTTGTAAAAATTTGTTGAACTGTATGAGTTGTATTCCTTTCTGTATTTATGGTATACTTCAACCAAACATCTGTATACTTTTGGAGTCTGCATGGCATGAATTTTAATGTAAAAGTAGGATCAATAGTACTGTATCATGTGACAAAAATCTTCAGTAAAGTTTTGAAATAGTGACACTTTCTGAATAACATTTCTTCAAGAATCTGCAAAACCTTTATTGATAGTATTTTTGAAAATCAGTATTTTAAAAAAGAATCATTCTGATTTGGGGATAACTGACACTTCTTAGTTAATATTGCTGACTTTAAGTGATTAAAAAAAATTCCAGTAGTTGATGTTTTTTCTCAAAGAAGAATAATGATGAAAAACTGAAAATATTGAACATTTAAAAAAATATTTTTTTAACATTTATTTATAGACATTAAAGAGAGACAGATCATGAGCATAGGAGGGGCAGAGAGAGGAGGAGACACAGAATCTGAAGGAGGCTGCAGGCTCTGAGCTGTTAGCACAGAGCCCGACACGGGGCTCGAACTCACAAACCCAGCGAGATCATGACCTGAGCCAAAGTCAAACACTCAGCCGACTGAGCCACCCAGGCGCCCCAAACATTTATTTATTTATTTATTTATTTATTTATTTATTTATTTAGCTCACAGGGATTTTTAATTATGAAAAAATATATTTTCAAATTGTAAAATGCTAGGCAGAATTCATTACATAATAGCTCTTTGGGGATATCAAATGTTAGTAAGGAAATACAAATTGTTGGCAAAGGCTATCTAGTCTTCTAAGCCCCATAGTTGCAAAGTGGCTAGGATTGTAACATGAAATTAACTTGCATAGCTTTCTTTATATCATATGCACATAGTCAATTCACTGCTCTAGTCATTTAGTTGAAACTTTCCTGAGGTATTGATATTTAGACTTTCTAAAGTCTTTCATTGCCATAATCCACTTTGTTTAATTTCTTCATCTCAGAAATGGGAATTCTACCACCTTCCTGACATCACAGTGACATGATGATTAATTAGTTAATGTTTGTAAAGTGCTTTGAGGATGTAAAGTGCTAAATAAGTGTTAAGCCCTGTTAAGTATCACAATCAATCAATATAATGTTTTATTGTACAGAATCTCATGTGTTACTTCAAATACTAATTTAGTTAATGTGAGAGTTCTTATGAAATTAGAACTATATCAAAAAATTGGCAGAAATTTTATAAATTATAAAGATACAGCAGGGATCAGGGAATTTTATTGATGTATTTATTTAGTGTTTTGATTTGTATCCATTATTAATTTTCATTTTTAATCAAAAAGAATTAAAATTTTTCATCTCAACTTTCCATTTTAATTTTATATATTAAAAATACTCATAAAATAATCTCTGCTGGAGTCTTCTTAGCCATCCTCAATTCTGAATACAGTATTTCATTTCCAAAAGTATTATTGATCTCTTTTTAAGAATATCTGAGAACTGGAGTTTTAATGAATTTATCCTTATTTCTTCATAAAGTCAAATAAGTGGCTTTGCATTTAAAAAGATGGCAATAATTTTGTAATATGGCTTTGAAGTAATATAAGACAACTTTTTTTATCTAATAGGGATAGTCTAAGACTGGCTGAAAGAGGCTTGATATAGTCCAGATATATTGACCCAAGCTCAGATATACAGAATAATTAAAGAGGTAAGAAACGTAATTTTTTTTTTCAATTTCCTTAAATCCCAGAGGACATTCATGTTCTTTGTGCAGGAATGAGGAGTTAAACTAAGTGTATTTATCCACATTGAATATAGAAATAAGCAAATGATCAGTTGAAAATAATTTCTTGTTATTCAAAATAGTTAATGAACTATTCTTTAAAAATACCTGAAGTAGATAATATAAGTACCTGAAAATCTATTGCACTCTTTGTTGAAGTGTATAATTTCACTCTTTTGGGTGGAGGTTTAAGGCACGCAGTGAACAAAATGAAAGCGCAAACCCAGAGTTTGTGTATCTTAGACAGCTTTCTCTTGCCTTTGTAGACCTAAGGAAATTCTTTTTCTGTGTTGACGTCAGTACTTGCGTGAGAATAATCTGAGAACAGCAAAAGGTTTAATTAGGTAGCTGACTTTGCAAAAACAAACCACACTTTAAAAAACATACAGATCCCAGAATCTTGACTCCTTCTGGGAAATTATTATTTTTGTGTGGGGGGTCATTTTATGGATGAGAACACTGAGCTTAAACACATTCCCTGGATTTGCATGCGCCCTCAGCCTGATCACCTCTCCACTGTCTTTGTGGGTGAGGGAATGGGTACAGGTTTTGGAATTAGGCAGAGTAGGCCTGGGACCAACATGTGGCTTTGTCAACTTTCCATGTGTGTGACTTTGAGCACATCACTTCTCTGAGTATCAATTTCGGTGCCTTATAAAATGGAGAAATGATGCTGCTTTTCAAGGTTGCTATAAGATTACAGATAATGTATCATAAGTACCCAGTGAGGATGCTGACCTATAGTCAGGAGCTCAGCAATTGTGGGCCAAATAATATAATTGGCTTATAGTCCATTAGAAAATCTCGGTTATTACAATAATTCTATTAATGTAGCATCTTACACACAGCAACTCTCTACAGTTGTTTACTGAATTTCACCACAACTGATAGGTTGTGTTTTATTTCTGTTTTACATATGAGAAAGCTAAGGCTTAGAGAGAGTAATGGGTATGTGTAGCACAATCGAGACTCCTAGAAATTAAGCAATCAACCCAGGACAGGCCACACAGCTTGTGCCCAGGGAGCTGGACCTCTGTCAAGTTGGCCCATCTGCCCTTCTGTACCTTATGCTATAGCTGTCTACCTAGATGACTCATTAATTTTACCCTGTAGCAATGATTCTAAATATAAGCAGGAGAAAAGCCCCCAGAGAGAAGAGAATGGGAAAATGAGGGCAGAAAAAAGAGAAAGGAATAGATAAGAGTAGAAAAATTCAAAGTGCAGTATGTAGGGTTCTTGAATAACCAATGCCATTGATATATTCTTTACATTAATTATAGGATTTGAAAAACTCTGGTATTTTGTTACTCTGGTGTAAAGTTAATTCCATTAGAATTTGAACTTTTCCTTCAGTTTTAGTGTACTATCAGTTAGATGAGGTCAGTTTACATAATATCCTTTCTTTGCCACCAATTTTACTGACTAAAAACAATTCAGTGTAGTATCTGTTACTGACATGGCTCCCATTTGTCACTGGTAAATGCATATTATGTCCCCCACCGTGACAGTGACTTTATCCACGGTTCCTTGGGGAACTAGAGTATATCACTTACAGTGCTTGGTGAGCTCATAAAGCTATTTATAATGTGTAACACAACCATTAATAGTTTGAATATTTATAACCATACTTAATAGCTATATATCACTGGTGCAACAACAAAAAATACATATGGGAAGAAAATGGTTTCTTTCTTAAAGGCAAAACTAATATCTTTGCCTTCAAATGCACCTGGGAAGAAAACTAGATTTGTGCATAAAACTGGAAATGGCCCCTCAGGAGAAAGAAATGTGTCCTAGGATTTTTGTAGTATATCCTTATAGCAGTGTTACTTACCTAAATGCTGCATTTTCTGTTTGCTTGTTTTACTTTTCTTACCATCCTGTGTCCAGTTAGTTCAGGTTGGCTTAATATACCTAATAGACATCCCAGAGTTAACCCATACAGAACTGAAAACTTGACCCCCACAGTCTCAGCGCCGCTTGAAATTCCCAGGTCCGTTTGAAATCATCCTTTCCTGGTTGATGACATGTTCCATTCCTTCTGTTTCTTGGGCCTCAGACTTTTGAGTCATCCTTCAGTCTTGTCTTCCCACCTCTCTCTGCCTGGATCCTCTAGTGCAAAATGTGTTCATCAACATAAAATGTGTCATAGTTTCAGGAGTTTCACAGATGCGCTGCAGCTTAGACACTTCATGGACATTAGGTGTAGAACCCCAATATAATGCCTCTTCCAGGTTTATAATCACGTTATGCTTTATAATGATAGCTTTTATTGTAAAATGATACAAAATAAAATACGATTCATTTTCCAACAAATAGATGATACTTTAATAGTTGTTTCTTTCAATGAATAGAAAAATATCTTAATTTGGACTTCTTATTTTCTTTTCGAGTATTGGTAATAAGAAAGTCTTACATGGAAAATGTGGCATGAAGGAGCCTAAGGATCAGAAAAAGGACTTCAGGTCTACCTTACCAGATTCTAGAGAACTTAGTAGATATTCATAACATGACCAAAACCAGGGTTTCTGTGCCTCATTGAGCTTTAAACATTAACTTAAAATTGCAGTATTAAAAGAATGCCACCTATCATGTATACAAGCAAGAGAGATAGAAACTTGGATTTTTTTTTTTTTTTTTTTTTTTGTCTTGAAGACTCACGGGGAATCTTATTCTTTGGCAAGTTAACCAATAGTGATCAAGTGAATTTTCATTATACAATTAGAAATTGCAATGTTATACAATTTGTTGAATGTGAAAAATCCCTGCATGAGAATAAGAAGTTCTTGACCTTGAAATTATAACAAGGTGGGGTGCCTGGGTGGCTCAGTCGGTTGAGTGTCCGACTTCAGCTCGGGTCATGATCTCGCAGTTTGTGGGTTTGAGCCCCGCGTCATGCTCTGTGCTGACAGCTCAGAGCCTGGAGCCTGCTTTAGATTCTGTCTCTCTCTCTCTCTCTCTCTCTCTCTCTCTCTCTCACTGCTCCTCCCTTGCTCATGCTCTGTCTCTCAAAAATGAATAAACATTAAAAAAAAATTTTTTTTAAAGAATTATAACAAGGTCTATCCATTGCTCTATGAGTCTGCTTATCATTTTAAATTTTAAACAATAATGAAGAGTGTGGCTTTTACTTGGAGATATATATATATCTCTCTTTTCTATTCCTTTTATAATATTCTATTTCTAACAAACTTCTGTTTTTGTTTGAAGCCTTTAAGCTTCAATCACTTATAAGTGAAAAAAATTCCACTTTTAAATTAATGATCCTAAATTTAAAACAAAAATTGAAACATTTCAACTAAAATATTGGCTGTTAACCCTCTAAGACAACAGAGGTAAAATTTACTTGCTATGAACAGAACAAACTGAATTTAGATTCTTCTAGGTGTACTTATGCATTTTTATTACAAAGTCTGGAAGTTCTAAAGGCATTCTAGTAATAATTAACATAGTTTTGTAATATAATGTACTTGGAATTCTAATTTGGAAGAGTGGATGGTTTAAGAAATTAATCGATTTTTAAAAAGTCCTATTGAGTTTAGAATTTGTAAGAAGATAAACAACATTTATATGTTCACAAAATCATTTTGAAACATAAGCAGCAAAGTCAGAATATGAATTTATAAACTAAATACAATAAGCTCATTGTATTGTTCAAAATGAAACAAATGTTTCTACATACTTAAAATAACATTAGTGTAGGTGGCCACTATAGAATCATAAACTTCTGGAGATAGAAGGAACTTTAGAATTTATTTCATGTTAAGTTAGGTGCAATAAACAAATGTTTAAGAGTTCTCAATATTGACATAAAAAATTCAAAAATACTTTTCATTACACCTGTGCTAGGCACCATGTAGTAAAAAAGAAATACATGACACCATTTTGTCATAATCACAACAAAGAACATGATACATAAATACTTTGCTACTGCTCTGTTCTCCCTCACCACTGGCAGTCATTACTAACTGAAAACTGCATACATCTATTAACACCTGAGAGAGGCCTCAAAATACTTTACAACACATTCATTAAATAGTCACTTCCTATTTATCTTAGCTGGCTAATAGGTGAAACTTACTTACCATTTTATCCCTATAGTACAACTGCCTCCAGATAGCTTACGATCTTGTCTGGCTAAGAGTTACGTCTTCTTGTTGTTGTTGGAAAGATTTATCAATGTATTTATTGTATAATTTTTTCTTTGGGATTGCCCAGTATATTGGTGCCAGATATACCAGCTTTCTCCTTAAATTGGCCTATGTCTTTTGAATAAATCCAAGAATTTATCTTCTACCTTTGAAGGCGGTATATCTAATAATTTTCAGGAAGCCTAAAAATTATCCACAATCCTGAAATCCTGAGTATACTTTACCTACTTCTAGAAATAACACCAATTCACTTTATTTAAAGATATTAAAAGATGAGGGCATGTTTAGATATATCTTTAGTATCCAGTGTAGCAGCCGGTCCATTATATATATAT